GATACACTCAGGGACTGAGTCCAAGAGTTCAGCTAAACACAAGGGCACCTGGAAACACCTGTACTAACAGCAGGATCGACACTGGCCCAATAGGAGGAGTTGCACATCAGGGCACTAATCCCAATCCCAGTGCAAGGCAATATGGGATCCAGGCACCAGGTCTTTAGTACCAGAATTTGTACTCCTGGGAGAGTGGGATGGAATGATAGAAGTTACAGGGGAAAAAGCCCTCTGATCATCCTGGCTCAGTCCATCTCCCTGCCAACGCAGGGCTGATCCTTACTGCATGTTTTGTCCAGTCTCCTTTTAAAAGTCCCAAGCCTTAGAGTTTCTAGCTGGGACACTCTATACCAGGGGTTCTCAAACTGGGGGTCGGGACCCCTCAGGGGGTCGCGAGGTTATTACATGGGGGGTCGCGAGCTGTCAACCTCCACCACAAACCCTGCTTTGCCTCCAGCATTTATAGTGGTGGTGAATATATAAAAAACTGGTTTTAATGTATAAGGGGGCGGGGGGGGTCACACTCAGAGGCTTGCTCTGTGAAAGGGGTCACCAGTAAAAAAGTTTGAGAGCCACTGCTCTATACCTCGGGGGAGTAAGCGGGCTGTGCTCTGTAAGCCCCATATTCATCATTTGTATATATTCTTTATAGCTCATATAAAGCATGCCATGTAAGGTATCATGGGAAAGGTTCTGATTTGCTGAAACCCGCTGTTCTGTCAAAATATGTATGTCATGGAGTCCCCGGGCGATGCTCTGGAACTGCTCCCCACAAAGCCAGTCAGGACTTTGGGGAGCCTCCTCTCCCTCGGAGCAGACCGTCTTCAGGGCAAGAAGCTCACACGGCTTCACCTCCCGGGTCAGACCTTGGAGCATTCATCATATGTCCCTCCATGCGCTTCCCACACGAATCCCCCCAGGCGGGGTCCTGGGGAGCCAGGGGGTCCTGCACCCCCACTTTTCAGGCAGACGAGACTCTCAGCCAGCCAGTAAAACAGAGGTTTATTAGATGACAGGAACACGGTCTAAAACAGAGCTTGTAGGTCCAGAGAACCGGATCCCTCAGCAGGCTCCATTCTGGGGCCCAGCGAGCCAGATAACTCCGTCTGCCCTCACTTCCCCATCCACAGCCAGGCCCAAACTGAAACCCCCTCCAGCCCCTCCTTTTTGGCCTTTGTCTCTTTCCCGGGCCAGGAAGTCACCTGATCTTTTTGTTCACCTTTAGCTATCCCCTTGGGGGGGGGGGGGGAGGCCCTGGCCATTAGTTGCTAGGAGACAGATTGTCGGCCATTTATGCACACTGGAGACTTAAGACATAGGGGACACTGAGGCACCCACACAGTATTCAGAGGAAACATTAAGGACAGTCCCTCTTCGTCACAGTATATCATTAAAGTGTATGAAATTATGAGATTGTGCTGCATGGTGTTACTGAAATAGGCTGCAAGTGCAGAAACAACAAGGCACTTGACCAAATGGCTGGGTGGATGTTACACAACCATCACCAGCCATTGTGCAGCAAGTGAATGACAATTAGCAATTCAATGACCATCACCAGAGAATTACCCTGGGACTCAGCAATCCCTGCTCCCCCCAACATGATGCTTGGACATGTGTTTTCCAGAGCACATGGACTAGACAGGAGACAGTGCCAGCCCAGGTTGTACCCCAGGGGTCACACACTAGCCCTTCCCTTGGGAGACGATTCCAGCCACACCCCAAGGCAGAGATTGCACTGCTTGGAAGGTTTCCCCTGATAGCTTGAGTTTCTCTCTCTCCCTCCCCCGCAGCCCCTTGCCTCCCCCTTTCCCTTCTATCCCCCACCCCAGGAAGAGGCAGTCACCCAGATGCCAGGGAGGGGGACCAAGCACACTACATGGACATGTGGCCACTGTCTCCAAGAGGGAGGCGTCTCTGCCTGGGCAAGCAGGGAGCGCCACACCCCGCAGCAACCCAGGAGACGCGTCGTTCCCCCCCCCCGCCCCGCCCATCCCGGTCCAGCTGCCCAGCGGGGGCTGGTACTCTCAGTCTCTCTGTGCTGCGGGGGCCCAGGGGATGTTTTTGGAGACGCCTCTGACTGAGCCCCCTGCCAGATGCAGAGAGCTGGGCTGTAGTCGGTGCCCCCACATGCAGACAGCCACATGCCGGCTCTCAGCACAGCCACCTGGGGCTGGGAAGAGGTTTCAGTCCCGTTCCCCCGACACCCTCACCCCAAGACCCCCTTTGAAATACACTTACCTGCTGCTGCCTTTAGTTGGCTGAGAGGCTGAAGCGAGGTTGGGAGCTGCAGAGCCACAGAAACAGGGCCAGCTCTAGCTTTTTTGCCGCCCCAGGCAAAAAAGCCTCCCGCCGCCCCCGCAAGCGCAGCAGGGGAGGGCACGGAGCCTGGCCGCGGGCCCGCTCTCCCCGACCGGCAGGAACACCGGGAGAAGGGTGGCGAGCCCGCCGCGGCTCCGTTCATCCCAACGGGCCGGAGCACCGGGGGGAGGGCGGCAAGCCCGAAGTGGCTCCGCTCATCCCAACGGGCCGGAGCGCCGGTGGGGAGGGCGGCTGAGCCCAGTCGCGGCCCAGCTCTCGGGCTGGAGCGCCGCGCCGTGCCGCCCCCCTCCAGGTGCCGCCCCAAGCACATGCTTGGTGGGGTGGTGCCTGGAGCCAGCCCTGCACAGAAAGCAGCCTGCTGCCCATAAGAAGCAGGTAGGAGAAGGAGGGGGGCACAGCACCGGTGGGGGTGGGGTCACTCAGCCCCTGCCCCAGGAGGAGAGTCCTCATCACTGATTGGCTGGTGGCCAAAAACAGCTAAAAAGCACAGCCCGAAAGAGCTGTTTTAGCCACGCTGATCAGCACAGCAGCTCAGAGCCCAAAACAGCTGATCGGCCCCGAAACATCTGATCGGCGTTGGCTCCGGGCTCTGCAAAAAACTGCGGATAGGCCCTCCGAGCCCCGCCGAACAGCTGATGGGGCCAGGGGCAGTAAACAGTTGACTGGTGCCAGTGGGTGCAGAGCACCCTCCAGCCCTGGAGCACCCCCAGAGTTGGCACCTATGCCCCCAGCCAAGGGTCCTTGCTGGCCAGGCTGGGAGGGGGATCTTAACCCAACGGGGGGCTGACGCTGGAAGAAGGGTCCCACCACCCAAAGCCCAGAGGTGAGTGGCCACCACCATTGCAAGTGTCCAACCGGCAGCATCCCTGCAGCCTGGCCAGGGCCTGAGCAGGAGGCCGGGACCTACAAGGAACAGAGTGCCAAGTGCCCCGACGTGCCAGACACGGTTTGTGAGGTTCCCTGTCACAGGGCCGGGTGACGGGTTCTCCTTCTTCTGTTGAAAACTAATTGTTGATTAAACAACTTGTATTTGTTTTACATGGTAGGACATGACCCGTCACCCAGGGGTCAGGGAGGTGCCCAGTGCGGCGCGCCCGGAGTGGGGACACCTCGCCCCTGTCCCAGGCGAGCGCGGCAGGATTGGGGGTCGCGCCCCCCGGAAGGCGGGGCTCGGCCAGACAGGAGAGTGGAGCGCTCCCCACGGCAGGGGCCCGACCCCCCCGGGCCCCGCGCGCCCCCGCCCCCCGCACCTGCAGCCGCAGCCGGCGGAACAGCGGCGTGAGACTCGAGCACGTCACAGGCTCCATCCGGCTCCCGGGGAACGTCGGCTTCGGGGGCGCCGGCGGCTGCTGCAGCGACAGGTCCTGGAGCGGGGCCCGGCCGGCGGCCTTCCGGGGCTGGACACAAAAACACCGCGTGTGACCCGGGCAGGCGGCGCGGGGGCGGGGGATGCGGGGCCGGAGCCCGGCGCGGGGGGGCCGGAGCCCGGCCCCGGGCGGACCTGCCCCGAGAGCCCCCCCCGCGGGGCCCCGCCCGACCAGGTGCCCTCCCCCGGGGCCGCCCTC